GGTAAATTGTGCTACAGTCAACTAGAAGAGTGTCTACAACGTTTGCATCATGAGATCAATACTTCTAATAGGTTTATACTTTGTTTTTGAGATACAGACAGGAGGTACTTATGAATTATAAATTATGTTTTTTTTATAAACGTATTTGATTTAAAAATTGGGGTAATAATAATTAATGCTTGGTTGCAGATTTACTTGATTTTTTTTTTCAAACTTTAATTCTTAACTTTGCCTTAGAGATCATTACAATGTGTTCCACGATAGTTTTTAAAAAGAGATTTTAAATAACACGACATGTTTCGACTAAATCAACTTTATCATGTTACAGATGGTGCAGTTCAACTGTCTGCCAACCCAGGTGTCATAGACCCGGGCGTGACGTCATTGACCGTTAGGTGTGACGTCAACCAGAGCAGCCAGTCGAACATGTCCGCCATCTTGTCCATCATCGTATCCCGCGCTGCCAACGGTTCCAGCACCTACACCGACCTGGCCTCGGTGGTCACGTTTCTGGGTCAAAAGGTCAACGTCCTGTCGTCTGAAGGTCTCACGGCCAACGGTTCCGTTCAGGATGCTGGTCACTCTTTTCTGGAACTACACTGGAACCAGCCAACAGAAGCGCAGGCTGGTCACTACTTGTGTACAGTACAAGGTCCAGACGCTGTTGGACATAACATCGACTGGATTGCTGAAACTGACGTCACAGCCACACATCCGGGTAATAACCAGCTCCTGGACAAGATCCTGCAACTGGATCTAGACTTGAAGCTGGCCAATGAAAAATTGGCAAATCTTACTCGTGATTTCACCAGCATCACCCAGGACCTACTACATTACAACACGGCCAGGGAGAAAGACATGCAACAATTTCTGTTTAGCCCAGGCTTCCTTCACAACAACTCGACCATCGCAGTTTCCAGAAACCGCAACAGTAACATCGGTGCCGCGGAGAATTTGTGCCAGATTTACGGCGGTTACCTCGTGGAGATCGACGACGCCGCGGAATACACGGCGTTGGTGGCGTACCTTAACAACATCAGCGACATCAAATCCGTCTACATCGGAATCTACAGAGATGTCCAAACAGGAGAATATAAATTCAGGCGCAGCGGGAAGACAGCACCGGTGTTGGTGTGGGCGGACAATATGCAACGAGATTATGTTGATGACGACATTTGTGTGCTGATGTTGAAGATACACCAGTGGAAGATGTTGGTGTCGCTTTGTGGAGACAACAACCTGGCTGTGTGTGAGTTTCCTCGTGATGTTTAAACGGTCGTTACTTCCGGCAGTTGTCATACGTAGAAATAAAGTTAAAACGCTTCAATCAATAGGCTTGAAAAGTCTAATGTAATCATATCAATTTAAAAAAAAAATCTTTTTTAAAATATGGCCACCGATAAAATTTTAGCTACATTTTTAAAATTAAAGCCGTTTAGGAACCATCGATTTCACTATTTTTTATATTTTTATATTGAATATAACTCGTTGAAAAGCCGTTTAGAATAATTTTATCAATACAAATATGTTTAAAAACTGCTCTCAACTCCTCCTTGAAGTCAACCGGAGTGGCCAGGGAAAGTAAAACGATGAAAGTCACAAAAAATGTTTTCCATGATAAAATACACAATAGTGATCTACGATGTACAGCCTAGTATTGTATTTATATTAAATAATATAACATCACCACAATACCCTTTCTCTGCTAATTCAAATTAAAAATAAAAGTGTTAGTTGAATTACGATTATATTTCTAGTAATTATTTGTTTGAATATTTCTAGCATTACTAAAACCGGAAGTCATTTTATACTTATTTCTCAAATGTTATAAAATATTAAATTTTGGTTGAAAAATATACGTTCTGGCAACAACCAGTTGGAACCAGCTTATCAATCCTATTGTTAACAAATGTACGTCTTATTACATAGCTATTGTTGGTTCAAAAAACACACATAAAATAAACACTTCAATTATATTGTTGATATATTTTAAAAATAAGATCGAGGTCTAACCTAGCGCTTACACTATGACTTAAAGTCTATGGTCATCCAACTAGGGGCTGTATGCAATAGAGGCCTATCAATACATGTGATTCTATTTCTTTCTTTACAGTTACCAGTTTCATATATCTTTGTCTAATGATAATGTTTCTCTTTTGGATTTTTTGTTTACTTTACTTAGTAGTAAGAATTTCCTGCAAAAGGATTTTGATTAATTTGGTCGTGATATTGTAAACAGTCAATAAATCACAAAACTTTTTTATTAATTGTGTCTTGCTCTTGAGTGTTTTATTAAATGTCTTTTGTTACCAGCAGTTTTAAATTAAATTTTTGTTTGCCGTTCTGGATGAAAATTAAATTAGTCCTCATGTGGATGTTGTCGCGGCGTTGATGTGATTGGTGGCAAACACGTGACCGGACTACGGTACAATTGATTGATGATGACAAAGGACGTTGATTAATTAAAGAAGTCCGTGGGGTAGCTGGATTTGTGTGGGACAGCGTGTACCAGGGGCCGAATGACCATACCGTCAGACCTCCCATTGAGAAAGGGGGTGGGGAGAGAGGCCGTTATGAGGGCCCATTTTTTTTTCAACTTGATAGACCAGTGGTTTCGTAAAAAACAAATAGATCTATTGCAGCAGTGATTGAATACACAGTAACTAGCACACATGAGCTGCAGTGTGAAAGGCGAATCCTCTCACCACTTCCATGACTTACTGCTCCTTTTTGGATGCGTGTTTATATATATATATATATATATATATATATATATATATATATATATATATATATATATATATATATATATATATATATATATATATAAATATATATATATATATATATATATTTATATATATAAGGGGCTCGGAAAAAAAATTACAGTAGGATGATGGGGCCTTTCTAGTTTCGCCATTGCCTTTTTGTGGCTATAAAGACAATTGTCTTAACTTACAGACTGGACTACCCGTAACCTAACCATGACCCACTTATGTTAAAGACATGTTTTTCCTTCCAGAGTGACATAAACATGACCTAACCATGACCTACACATTACCTTCACATTACCTACACAAGACCTAACTATGACCTAACTAAAGACACCTGCCTTACCTTCCAGACAGATCTTGCAGGTGAGGAACTCCTCGTGGATCTCCTGTGCGAGCTTGTTGCCTGCAGCGGTGGTGGACATGTTGCTGCAGACGGTGGGGGGTGGGGGACTGGGGGACGAAAGACTGGACGGGTCGATGGCCTGAGTGAAGTAACGGTCTCTCTCTAGACGGCGGCGGTACCTGCAAGACAAAGTCATATGAGGAAATAGAAAGACAAAGTCATATGAGTTAATAAAAGAGGCATATGAGAAAATAGAAAAAGTCAAATGAGAAAATAGAAAAAGCCATATGAGGAAATAGAAAGACAAAGTCATATGAGAAAATAGACAAAGTCATATGAGAAAATAGAAAACAAAGTCATATGAGAAAATAGAAAGACAAAGTCATATGACGAAATAGAAAAAGTTAATTGATGAAATAAAAAAGTCATATGAGGAAATATTCACATTTTTTTCCGTTTTGAAGAAAAAATGTAGGCTATTTACAAACAATAAAAGCTCTATTGATCAAAATAAGATATGTTTTAATTAATAATTTTAATAACTTATACCTACATAGACGTGGATTCTACATGAAGTAATATAATAATTGGGGAATGAAATAAAACATAATCAACACTGTTTACATTCTCCCTTAAGTCTAGATATTTACATTCTTTAATGTATCCAGACCTTTACATCTCACTTAGACCAGACCTTCAAATCGTTCAAAAAAAAAAAAAAAAAAAAAAAAGAAAGTCTCTGACTTGTATACTCCATTTAGATAAGGACCACGTCCCCCATTGTCATTTTATGTCCCGATTTTGTCTCGACCATCACAAGGGTTACCTCTTTGAACCTGAGGGTACATGGGGAACGTGCTGTTTCTGTTTCTTGGCATATAAGGGGATAGTGTGGTCAGCACTATGTCCAGCCGTCTTTAACTTAGTTAGGCAACCGTGAACTGGGTGAACTCAGTGAAGTTCTACTGACTTGAACCCGGATTCGAACTTGAGACTTTCAGGTTTAGCGCTCTAGCAGTCTAGCGCTCTAGCGCTGTGCCAGGCCGTCCCTCGACCATCACAACCAAGATTTTATTGGAGAACGCCATTCGTTTTGTTAAGTTATTCCACGCGCCAGCATTTACAGAACACATCCCGAGTTTAGTTTAGAACTTCAGAGAAAACTAATGTAAACTTTCTCTAAAAATAGCCACAAAAACAAAGCGAAAATTCCCGGTGCGTTTTGATGACAAGTTTGGCACGACTCAGACAAGTTTCATTTTCAGCTTCAGTGAAATCTTCCTACAGGAATCTATTTCCGGCCACAGGGGAATCGTTAGGTTTACGTCGCCATGGCAACAGACATTTATTTTTGTTTATATATTTTTTTAATGAGAGGAAAGGGGGGCATTTAAAAAAAAAACCAAGTGCAGCTTAAAAAGTAAACTGTTGCTGTTCTTCTAAGATGTTGTGTAGGCCAGGGTACGATGTGTCGACAGAAACGTCGCAGATGGACGGAGTATTCCAGGAATATTCACCAGAGAAGCATCTGGCAGTATTTTTTATACCCAGGTCTGACTCACAAGATGGCATAATTCCCTCACCTATGTGACGTCATGATGGATAGGGGAGGTGGGGGGCAGGTGCACTGCGAGAGGTATATGTCAAGGTCACGGATTCGCAAAGAGCTGACAAAACAAATTAACGTTAAACCAACCCCTCCCCCCAACCAACCCACACCCCCACCCCTTTAACCAAATTGTGTCTATATTTAGTTCCCAACCCACAACTCCTTTCTAAAATAAATAGAACAGTGGCGCAGTATCAACAAAGGGAGGTAGAAAATGAGTTTAAAAACAAAATAATAAATTTTCTCCCTTTAGTTGTCCTTGATCGTTACACCAGGTGAAGACGCCCGTTTGTGAATCAATTTTGGCAGCACGCGAAACCCCAGTTGCCAGATTTTTTACCCCATCTTGACCGAAATTATTTTTTTTTTACTGAACATGAGCAAAACAAGAAGGGTATTTCAACAAATGTAGGTTTTAAACTATTAAAAGCGTTGTTTGATCTTAATATTATGAAAGAATTAAAATATTATGGGACCAATTTTCTGTTATGTTCCTCTAAGTTGCCATGACAACTATACAATTTTTATGTTTGTATTTATCGGAAGTGAAAGAATGTTTACTAATTTTTGGAGCTCTACGTAAACAGGGACAGAGGTCATGTTTGTTTTATAAATCAACTAGAAACTGCGTGACACAAATGTCACATTTCAGGAGTCACATTTTGAAGAAAGTCATATTTTGAAGAAAGTCACATTTTGAAGAAAGTCAAATTTTGAAGTAAGTCATGTATTGAAGAAAGTCACATTTTAACAAAGTCACATTTTGAACCAAGTCATATTTTTTAAAAGTCACTTTTTTTTTAAAATTGCATTTCGAAAAATGTCATATTTCAACAAAAGTCATATTTTCAGATAAGTCACATATAACCAAAGTCACATTATAACAAGAGTCACGTTTTTTTAAAGATCTCATTTTTTCAAGTCACATTTTAACAGAAGTCACATTGTGTTCGAATGCTATAGATTTACTCTAATTTAGTAAAGAATACAAACCTTAATTACACGCCATTAAATGAATTAAAAATGCTAATTAATTCAATACCGTTAAACGACTAAAAATGCTAATTAATTCTACACCATTAAATGACTAAAAAATGCTAATTGATTCTACACCATTAAATGACTATGAATGCATCCGAGACGTAATTCAGTGACTAACAAGAGCCCTGGATAACAGTTATAAAGTTCTGTTGTACGTCTTTTAATATTGGCTTCATCTTTACCTGTTCTTTACCTGTAGGATTCTTTATTTAGTACAATGCTTTTAGAGAACTGCTTAATTAAATTAAGAAATCAGCTAATGAACAAATTAACTAAAGGCAAATATATTAGTCTTTTAAACAAAGTTAACTGATTCTTTAAAATGTTAATTTTGAAGTTAAAATCCCACTTACATTTCCGACATTGTTTCCGTCATATCCGCCATTTTTAAAATCCCATTCAAAAACTTTTTCAAAGAATAAACAAGCTCAGTAGAACTTGGACGATTCCAAAACTTTAACACACTTCCCCCACGAAAAAATTAATCATTCAAAAACATTTTAAAAGTCTTGAGCAGACAATAGAACGACTTAAAGATGATTAGATCTGTCTTAATGAGCGTGATTAAAGTACTGGTGCCAGCCTTAGAACCACAACAAGAGATGAACCCAGTGGAATGTAGGGTGCAAAAGAGCATCACTGCTACATGCGAGGGAACACAGTTGGCACGGACAGAGAAGAGTGGGTGTGTTTACCGGGGCTAATTGTGAGGGCTGGGTACAGGTGGCGGCACGGGAAAACAGCACTATACCGGGAGTACTTTCATTAAAGTACTCACCTGTGTGTTTTAAACGGCTTTATTTACTTTCCTTTATCGCGTTCTACGTTCTTTGTTTCCCCCGTCGTGATAGTTTAATGGCGTTTGTAAATATCTTTACATAAACACACACTAACATATCTAAATTTATTTCATTATATTAGTATATATGTATCTCTCTATGTATATATATGTATATATATATATATGAATAATATATACGAATATATACATATATATGTATAATATATATATATATATATATATATATATATATATATATATATATATATATATATATATATAGGCCTATGTACATAGGTATATGTATATATATATATATGAATAATATATGTGTTGTGTATAATATATATATATATATACATATATATATATATATATATATATATATATATATATATATATATATATATATATATATATATATTTATTTATTTCTTTATTTATTTATTTATGTGTGTGTGTATGTATATGTGTGTGTGTGTGAAAGTGTGGTCTATTGACCGTCAGGTTCGAAAAATGTAACTGTATTTTCCTTAAGTAGTAATGCTTATATTAGGTTCATTAGTTTTACCCTAATGATCAAAATTATCATAATTACTGTAATTAACTTAATTTCATTTAATTAGTCACAGCTTAACGATCTAACAGCTTAACGTAAGGAGCCACAACTGCGGCTAGACCAAACCAGACTTTAGATAACTTGAGAGGGTTGATGGGTAAATCAACGCTTTTCTTGTTACACGTTTAATTAGCTTCACCTGGTTTATACAGACGGCGTGTTCGCGAATAGACATTTTTAACAGCGGTGGGATTAATTCATCTCGTTTTATGCCCAGGGCCGGCTTAAAGCATGTGCTGAGTAGGCACTTACTCGAGGGCCCACGAGAATCGATGCATCATATAGTTCTTATAAGTCTTTTTAAATTCTAGCAATCTTTATCCCCCCCCCCCCCCAACACACACACACACATAACACATACATCACCACCTTCAAATGTTTTGTTTTGAATTAAGCTAAACCAAAGATTTTTAATAGGCATAAAGACAACGCATCATTGCTCAACCTTTTCCTGTGTGTAGATGTGAATCGAAGGTAATTTAAATTGTTATTCTTGCGAGTAGTCCCAGCGCTGTAGTACATTAAGTACTAGCTAGTAAACTTAGTGTACCTAGTAAACCTAGTGCACCTAGTGCGTATAGTAAACCTAATGCATCAATACACACTACAGCTAGTACACTTAAAATACATATAGTACTCTGTTATATATGCCTGCTATTGTCGTGACGGCTATGATTACGCCCTGTCTCTTGTTATAAATCATCAAAAAAAAAAACAACAGTAACATTGTTTGAAAACAACTTTTGTAATACTCTAAAAACAACTCGGGATAAATAGATAATTACACTAACTTGGCTGTATAACCATGCTCATATTTCATGTTACAGCAAATATACTATCTGCAAACATTATATTAATTAATATAGCAAATTACATGTTATATTGTATGCATCATTTGTTTACAATTATTTTTATCCGATATCGATATATTTTCATTATTTTTTTATTAAACTTATTTCGGGCATCACCTATTCTCCATTTATAATCATCATTATCCTATATCAGTTCGAGTAATATAGGATTGATAAATTCCAATATAAGGGTACATAACAACTAACAGCCATATACGCAGTTGATTTTACCGACGCCTCCCATCACAATAACAAAATACAAAATGAGTTCACTAGAT